GGACCAATGTCATCTACAAGATCCCCTGCAGAGACTGCGAGAAACACTACATCGGACAAACAGGAAGGAAACTAACAAGGGTACACGACCAATACTCACTTATCTCAATCCACATGGACAAGGAGAACCACGACTTCGACTGGGACAACACCAAGATCCTGGGACAGGCTAGGCAGAGACAAGCATGAGAATTCCTGGAAGCATGGCACTCCACGAAGCAGGCTATTAATAAACACATTGAACTCGACCCCATATACATTCCACTATGGAGGAACCAGGAAATGAGGCAATCCATCGCAACGGACCCCAGAGTTTAAAAACCAGGCGGGAAAACACACCGACGCTTCATCAGAGGCTGCACCGAGGATGTTACCCAGCACGGTAACAAAACGTCTGCGGAACAACAAAACAGCTCGGCGAGCCAACCAACCTCAACAATTCAAAGACTCTGCTTCCACGGTCTTTTGAGGAAAAGACTCACAAGCAACACTATGTGAGAAAAAGGTTTCCCCTTATTTCTGTTTTAAATGTGTGACTCATTATTTTCAAACAGTTCCCCGTCGTAGTGGATTCTCCCACGAGAGGAAACCTCCTCTCCACATCCACCCTGTTAAGTTGCCTTTCACTCTTCTAACCTCTGGCGAATACAACCCTAGCCTGTCTGATCTTTCATCATAAGACAACCCACCCATTCTAAGTATTAGTCTAGTCAACCTCTGTGACCTGCTTCCAGCCCATTTACATCCTTAATTAAATAAGGAGACCAATATCAAACACTTAAATAAGTACATAAAAAGATTGCATGTCACTATTTCAAGGAGAAGTTGGAGAGTCCCCTGCAATGTCCTGACCAATATGTAATCAATCAACCAACATCATTAAAACAATTATCAGGCCATTAATTCAATTACTGTATGGGATCTTCCTGTGCACAAATTGAATGCTTCCTATATCACAGGAATAATTATTCTGTAAGTGATAAGTAGTGCCTGCAAAGCATTTAGAAAAGTCTGTTCTTCTTGGGATCTCTCAGATCTACCTGCCTCTGTTTAATGTCTTACTTGGAAGGTAGCACCTCTGACAGTGTAGCACTATCTCTGTAATGCACAGGAGTGTCAGCCTTTGGCTATGAGCTGAAGAGTGTTCTGAACTTTTTTTAACCCTCTGACTCAGAGGTGGGAGTGTGATTAACTGAGCCACAGCTGATGGCTAGTTGGCATATAAATGTTTGGAAATCCAATGTGGACAGAATGGGCCAAATGGCCTCTTTCTGCACTAATAAATCTATCATTCTGTTAATGCACCTTTTTGGTCATTAGTAAATAAAGATGATTTATTTTCTCTGGTTTATATTTTTGTCATTTCAATTCACTGGGTTCTGTTAGTATAGAGATTTCTAATTTTGTATGTGAAAGGATAATGTTCACAATATCAAAACACTGAACATGAAAGTCAATGTTATCGTATGACTGGCCCTTTTGCAGTAACAGCTTATATTTTGGTTATAGAGAAGATCAATATGGAGTTGTTTTGCACCCACGTACTTACAGCTCTATGACACAAGATGGTGCTTGAAAATGGATTGAACAACAAAGATGCAAATCATTATGACAAAACCTGAAGCAAAGGCTGAAAATATTGGAAATACTCACTCTGTCAGGCAGCTTTTTTTGCAGAGGAATTCATATTCCAGGGGCAAACCCTTCTTCAAAATGGAACAAGTTAAACTAATAACAGCATTTAAATGTGATGTGGAGGTGCCGGTGTTGAACTGGGGTGGACAAAGTCAGAAGTCACATGACACCAGGTTATAGTACAACAGGATTATTTGAAATCACAAGCTTTTAGAGCACAGTTCCTTCATCAGGTGAAGCCCTATTTAAATAGGGAGAGGGGGGAAAATTGATAACATTGCAATCCTGCCACAATACACTCTCTAAACCCAACATGGTTCCACATACCCCTCCAAGCAACATCCCTACCCCCAATGCAATCCACATACTCCTCCAAACAACACCCTACGCAATACAACCACTGTCTACACCCACACAACACCCGTCCTTCATACACATCTCCAAAATGCCCACACACCCTATCAGACAATCCCATACCCACCTTCCATACAACACCCTCCCTACAGAGACACCCACCGTCACAACACTCTTCTGCCCATCCTCCCACCTGCACACTCCTCAATGCACAAAACTAGTCCTGATTGAAAATCCAATCAAGATTCTCTCACTGGGCAAAGCTACCTGAGCTTTACACACCCATGGACCGAGACAACTAGCACCAACCCCTGCTGCCTGAGTAAGGTATTCATTGTGTTTTGTGTCTACGATGTCTTTGTTTGAACCTTATGCAAAAGTTCCTTGTTTAAAGCAGTGTCTTGTCCCATTTTTCTTAGTCCACAGTCTCAAAAATAAAAGTGGTCTTTACACAAAGAACTGCAGAATGTTGCCAGAGACAGAGAGTCCACAACAGGACATGGAATAAAAACATTAAGCAATGCAAAGCCAAAAATAGTTCGCGACAGAGCAGAGGTGTTCCCCAAAATTGTCATTAGCTTGCATTTAGCCTTCCCACATGGGTAGCACAGACAATGGACCTGTTCTGCGATCTGGTTGGGCACACTTCCAGCACTGTCATGTCTAGGATTCAGAGATGCACCTGAGAAGGTGCCAAATAAGATTGCTGAAAAAATGACGTCAATGTTATGAGGGTTTAGCTGGCAGGGAAAGGCACTCTGTAAAAGAAAAGATTTAAGGATAAGGTTATACGGATCTTTAAAATTATAAAGGGATTTCATAATTAGATGTAAACCCTTGGTGGAGGGAAATCAAAACTATGGGCTATAAATTGTTGCTGATAAATCCAACAGGCAATTTAAGAGGAACATCTTTGCCAATACTGTGGTTGGATCACAGTGGTTGGGTGGTGGTTGAGGTGAATAGTATAGACGCTTTTAAATGGAAGATAGATTAGTGGATGCAGCAAGGAATGGAAGGATATGCTAATAGGATTATATGAAAAGGGTTGGGAAAAGGCTATTGTGGAACATAACCATTAGAATGGACTGGTTTGACCAGAGGTTCTGTGCTGTACCATCTGTGCAACATGAGGTGGGACGAAGTGTATGTAAATTGCTTTCTCACCCAGGAAACCCTGGGCAGGGCTGTGGGAGATGAAGAATGAACAGGTGACTTTTCTAATCTGATTGAATCTATATTAGACCAAGTGATCCATTTACTGTATTGAATCAAGAGAGTTGGAGGGGATAAATTTCTTAAATGTACAAAGGGTTAACTTCTGGGAATACCTTGTAGGACACCATTGATGATGGCTTGCACCAGGAAGAACCTTGAAGTGATTACAGATCTGATTGAGAGTGGAGGGAGTCTGATGCTGACTAATAAGGATGGCTGGAGTAGTTTCCATATTGCTTGCCGAGAGGGCGATCCCAAAATTATCCAGTACCTTCTCAAGGTCAGCCCAAATATCTGGGATGTGGAGAGCAAAATAAAGAGGACTCCTCTACACACTGTAGGTAAGCTGACCGGGCATTGGTTGTGGTGTGAGATGTCTAGGGTACACTGGATTGTAATGTACATTGCAATAGATGAATAGTTTTCCTCATTGATATAGATTTATCATAACATAGGAACAGAAGGAAGCCATTCAACCCCTCCATTCTGTTCCACAATTCTGTTAGCATACAGTTAATTACACCTACCTGCCTTGGTTCTATATCCATTAACCAAAATCTGTTGGCACAGACGGGTTGGACTGAAGGGTCTGTTTCCGTACTGTATGACTTTATGACAAGGGCAGCAGATACATGGTAACACCACCACCCGCAAGCTACTGTCTAAGCCACATGCCATACTGACTTGGAAATATATCACCATTCCTTCACTGTCACTGGGATAGAATCCCAGAACTACCTCCTTAACAGCATTGGTATCCCTACATCACATGGACTGCGCCAATTCAATAAGACAACTTATCAACATCTTCTTGAGCAATGAGGGCAGGGCAGTACATACTGGCCTGACCAGTGTAGCCCACATCCGATCAAAGAATAATAAAAAATATTTGAGGGATGGTGTTGGGTGGAGACAGTAGTGGAGAAAGGCTGCTTGATCGAGCAGGGAAGTTTGAGGCAATCTGATGAAATCTAGAGGAATACGCTCAAGCAGAACTGCCAATTCTGTCAAGAGTTAAAGATAAGTGTCAACAGAGGCCTCTCATTTCACCAGGATGGTAGGTGACGTGACAGTGAAGCTTTGTAGAAGGTAATTGTGCCACAGCAACCCTTGAAGGTGTTAAATTCACCAAGACAGAATAACAATGTTATTGGGGAAAGGGAAGAAAACCAATAAGAATACTGATTCCTTACCCGGCCGCAGGCCAGACATGTGGTGTTGCTAGGCAACTCCTGTATTATCGTCAATGAGAAACATTGCGTGTTCCCTGTATGGCTCAATAGAATGCAATTCAAGCCATGATTTCAAAACAGCCTTCATGGCAGGAAGCTTGTGTATGATGAGTCCCCAAGGAATTTTCATTGTGAGAGTGGAGAATGTATGTCCTTCAAACGTACCACAAGTTTTATCCTGAATAATTTACATAGCCATTTTCCAACATACTGTGAATATCTATTTGTGGAGAAGCTGAGATTTTTAAAAAATCTTCTTCTGCCCATCATCCCCTACCCAGATTATTGATTCCTTGTCAGGATCAAGTTCCAGAAACTCTTCAGTAACTCATCTGATTCTGTATTCTCTGTGTGAACATGGTGGGGGTTATATTACTGGATTTGTATTGTAGAGAATGAGATCAAATCCCATCAAAGTGACATTTTGATAAATGACAAGATAAACTGTTTTAGTGATATTAGTGAGGAGATGTAGAGAAAAGGATATGGGGAAAAGGCAGGAGATTAGCACTAGGGAATAGAATCGACTGAGACACAATGGGCCAAATGGCCTCCTCATGCACCATAACAGTTCTGTGATTAACATTGGCTGGGGCAACAGAAACTGTCACCCTGCTCTTTAATGGTTTTTATATCCACTGAGAGAGCAGACCAGGCTTTAGTTTGATGTCTCATCTAAAAGATGGCAGCTGTGACAGTGCAGCACTCCCTCTGTTCCGAACTGGATTGTCAACCTAGATTTTAAGCTCAAATATTCAGAGGGGGACTTGAACCCACAACCTCCTAGTTGGAGTTGAGAGTACCACCCACTGGTCCACAGTGCTGTGCATTGTTTATGGCATGGTGATTTTTTTCTTTGCAAAGTGATGAATCATTTGGATACAGATTGTGTGCTTGATGAGGAGGGAAAAGCAAAGTTCAGCAAAATGGTCTTTCAGCAAACACACAATGCGCCTTTGAGATGTGGTGATTGTCAACGGCCTTGCAAGAGCAGCACTCATTGATTTTACTTGCAAATTGTTTTTCTTTTTACACAGCTATGCATGGACACTTTGAGGCGGCAGAGCTGCTTCTAGAAAGGTAAGCTCTTTATTTACTAACATGATGAAGCCGTTTACCCAAGTACATAAACGTTACGGAGTCCAATTCCAGATTTTTCATGGGAAGTGCATCAGACCATGTTAGTAATAGTACACTGTCACCAAAATTGTGTTGACGATTTTTTCCATGCTACGCAGGTTTTGCGGTGTGTGGACCAGGCTGGATATCTGGATTCCATGCAGCATTGGCAAATACTGCTAACATCCCAGTGGAGGTCAGGGTACATAGTGCTGCTGATGCCCTTTAGCCTTGTGCCCTAGACATTCTGACTTTGGTGGAAATATGTACCTTGGCGATTTAGCAATGCTGAGGTCTGCAACAGTGCAGATATGGAACAGTTTGAGTACAATTTCCCAATCTCTTCTCAAAAGGGCAGCATGTTAAATGTATTTTGTTAACACTATTGCATCCTCAAAAAACATAGAGAATGCTGGAGAAACTCAGCAGGTTTGACAGCATGTTTGGAGAGAGAAACATTCTGAGGCCATCTTCTTTGTGTGCACCCTGTCAAGTCACCCCAGGATCAAAAATGTTTCAATAAATTCACCTGTCATTCCTCGAAACTCAAATAAATACAGACCGAAGCAGAACTGGGTCTGAAGAAGAGTTATGCCAGACTCGAAACATAACAGTTTCTCTGTCCACAGATGCTGCCAAACCTGCTAAGTTTCTCAAGCACTCCCTGTGCCTGTTTCAGATTTCCAGTAACTGCAGTATTTTGCTTTTATACTATTGTATTCTTGTTATTCAAAAGCTGTGGGGGCAAGTTCCTATTGTCACCATAATTAGGTTAGGAGTGTAATTCCCAAGCAATATCATCATTGTCCAAAACACTGGAAAGGACAAGAGTCTATTGTGTGTTGAATCAGTGGAAAATGCTCCTGATACAGGGCACTAGTCTGTGCTTTTAAATCAGTTTATTTTAATTATTTATTTTTAGGAAATTCAGTGCAGCAAAACCTGAACATGATATTTGAGAACAAAATGCAGGTGTTTTCATTCCTGAGCAGCTTATTGCTTAGAATACATAGGAATTCAGAGCAGGAGTAGGCCATTCAGCCCCTCAAGCCTGTTCTGCCATTTGTTAATATCAGGGCTGATTTAATTGTGGCTGCAACTGTACTTTTCTGTCTACCTTATACTCTATTCACTCCTATGTCAATCAAAAATCTGTCAAACTTAGCCTTAAAAATATTCAATGGCCCTGCCTCCACTGCTGTTCGGGACAGTTCCAGAGACTGATAATCGTCTGAAAGGGGGAAAAAAATCCTCGTCTCCGGCTTAAATTGGAGACCCTTTATTTTTAAACTGTGTTGCCTAGTTCTAGCTTCTCCCATAAGGAGAAACATCCTTTTTGCATGCATCCTGTCATGTCTCCCCAGGATCATATGTATTTCAATAAGTTAACGTCTCATTCTTCTAAACTCAAATAAATACAGGCCCAAGCTGTCCACCTTTCCTCAGAAGACAACCCCTTCATCCTAGGAATTTGTCGAGTGACCCTTCTTTGAACTGCTTTTAATATGATTACATTCTTTAATAAGGAGACCAAAACTGTACTCAGACTCCAGATGTGGAGGTGAAGTGGTGTTATTGCTGGTCTAGTAATCCAGAGACCCAGGTAATGTTCACATTGCACAATACCAAGCCTAGTCTGGCCGGCTCCAAAACATGTTGTTCTAAGAAACTATTCTGAAGAGATTCCATGCATTGCTCATCAAGGCTACCTTTGTCTATCTGATTTTTCCAGTCAGTAAATAAAGGAAAATCTCCCACAATTCTCACTTTGACTTTATGACAAGCTGCCTTTTTCCTCCCTTACGGTCCACCCTACAGTGTGGAATACACAACTCCTACAAGTAACCTTTTGCTTTTGTCGAATACATAAGCTGTTTCCACATCCTGGTTTCCTGAACTTAGAGCTAATATCTTCATTAATAGCACCACCCCTAAACCTCGCATATTCAAGTCCCAATCTAAGTCATTTCTATAGCCCTACAGAGGTAGGGTGAGTGAGTGTTTGGCGGCAGCTGAGGAGAGTGGTGGTCTCTAGCTGTGATCTCCATTCCCCAGAATTGGGTAACCTTGTGGAGTTCACCTGAGCCTAGGTGTCACTGTGGGAAACAATTCCTCATTTATGCATTGGGACATTGGGCAATGTGAGCTTGCAAATGTTCTTGAATATTTGTAGGTGTGCTTACAAGCCAGATGCCAAAGACAGCTGTGGAGTCACTCCGTTCATGGATGCAGTGCAGAATGGCCACATTGAGATTGCTAAACTCCTGCTGGAGAGGCACAAAGTGAGTTACAGTCTGATTTGCTAAGTAGAGTGTTAGATATGTAAAGTTACTGGGTGGAAACCTGGTATAGAAGTCTGTACTAACAGCATAGGGACAGGAGTAGGTCTTTCATCTCTTTAAGCCCATGCAATCAATTACAGCTTGCGCTAACATTGTATGTTACATTGAATGTTCAGCACAGAAACAGGCCATTCAGCCTAGCTGGTCTATGCCAGGTCCACATGAGCTTCAACCCACCCTACCCTACCTTATCTAAACCTATCAGCATATCCTCCTATCTCTTTTCCCATATTTTCTTTAACTAATTGCCTTTTAAATGCTTGAGAAACAGCTTCAAAATGCTGCTTTGTTAGTACTTACTATTCAGCTTATTAAATGCACATTTACAGATTGAGTGCTCTGTCTGGATGGAACTTAGGAACAGAAGTAAGCCATTCAGCCCCTCAAGCCTACTCTGTTAATGAGTAAAATTCTGGGCTGGTCTCAAATCCTCAGTCCAATCTTCAAACTCCCCCAACACCTCAACCCCGCAACCACCCCATAGCCCTTGTCTGTCAAAAATCTATTGCGTAGCACTGGGAACTTGTATATATGGCTTAAATCGAGCTTAATTTAAGTCTAACTACAAAATTGATTCGGAAGTTGCTTAAAACGTACAGCATAGAATCCAGGTACTTGGCTCTGCTCAGCTATGTCAGCGTGTGCACCTTTCTTCACCTCACCTTATCAGCATGTCCCTCTATTCACTTCTGCTTATTGTGGTCATCCATCTTCCCCTCAACATCTGTGTTATTCACCTCAAAGTCTCCTTCTGATTGTTTGTTCCACATTCAAACTACGTTGCGGCTAAAGAACAGGTCTACTTTGTTAGTTCTGATTAGACAATGGTGAGAAAAGATGTTAGCTGCGCTTCGATCTTTGTGGTGACCCACAAATCCGAATGTCTTATTTCAGGCTGATTTCTCAGCTACCGACGCCCTGGGGGCTCAGTCTCTGCACCGAGCCACAGTAACTGCACAGGATGAAGCCATTTGTTTCCTGGTCACCGAGCTTGGCGTGAATGTAAATGAGAGAGCCACGGGACTAAAGCTGACAGCCCTGCATTATGCAGCAAAGGTCAGTTATCAAGAGATGACGTCAGGGATAATTGCTGAGCTGTGCTCGCTAGGCTGCTCAGTTCTCATGGCAACTGCACTTCTGGAAAGCTCCAAATCATCCCTGTGAAACAAGGCAACTGCGTCTGTTAGCGCCCAATGATGTGCCTAGTTCGACACATTAAGACACATCTTCCTAAAGGTTTTATTAGATGCATCACTGAAAATAAATGTGATTAAAGTATGGTTTCTTGTCTGGTTTTATACGATAATGTAAACAGCAGGATAAAGACAGCTGTGCCTCTGTGAAATTTCCTTCTTTGGCAGTAATTCTGTGATTATCCAATCCATGTGGCTGACTTCAAGACAAATAGCCCTCACTACCTTACTGAATGTGGACATCTGGCCTGAACCTATTTCTGTCGTTGATTTTTATCCATGTCTAGCTGCCTATAATAGAGCTCATTGTTTGTTTGTATGGAATCCTGCACAGGGTTACTTAACGCAAATTCCTCTGGATCTTAACAGCCTGAAAATCCAACTTTCAATTCTTACTGAGTGATTACTCTAGTCCCTGTACTCCACAGGTCACAATTTAAACTACGTATACTCTCCCTGTTACCAAAGTGACCAGTTAAATACCTTGTCTATATCAAGTTTTAAACAACAATATCTATGAATCAGGTTTCTTAATAAATAAAATTCTAGATTTATTATAAAAACAAAACTTAGGCAATGAGGACACAATAATTGGTTAATGGTGACAGTCAGTAGGATAGAAGCACAAATATTTATCCCACCAAATATCCCCAAAACACTCAAGAAAACAGATGCACATTCTCTGTCTAGGAAAAGAGAAAGAAAACAGCTTTCTCTACAGTGGTTGGCGTTCAGAAAAAAAAACTTTGCCAATGGGTTATTTTTGAAGGCAAAGGAGATAACAAGTTGACCGTTTCAGAATCTGTTCCTCTGATGTTCTGCCATGCCTCGTCAATTCACTGATAATGTATGATGGTGTCTGAAAGTCTTGCGGACACACCTTGCTCAGAGATACGATCTCTAGATGTTCTTTCAATCAATCTTATAAAAACACAAATAGGTTTCACTCTGAGTTCAACAAGAGGGGTTTCTTTTCAGATGTGAGAGCAGTTGGGCAGCTTGTTCTTAGCATGCTTTCCCATAACAGAACCAAATAAAACAAACACCTCTCCAAGACAGTTAGTGTTCAAGACAATCCCAGCAGGGAATTGCAGCAAAGAAAGCAGTTCTCATTATTCATATAATTTACAGGAAGCCTTGTTAAAAACAAATTGTTAATATCCACAGTGACTTTTTTAAACAAAGCACTCCAGGTATTTCCACAAAAAAACAATTCATTTTCCACAATCCTTCAAGATATAAGTCCTCCAGGCAATATTAAATTGAGAGTGTCTTTGTAACAGTATAAAGTGCAATTCACTGTGATGTACTTGACTTGGATTTTTACAAAGCTTTTAAAAACGTTCCACATGAGAAACTTAAATGAGCACCACATAAATCACATGTGATGAAGGATGACAGGACCTGCAGCCACCCCTCCCACTCTACCATGGCCCCTGATCCATTCTGTCTGATCAAGATTACTGAGGCATGCAGGACAAGCTACCAGCAAGATTCCTACAGCAAGAGGGAAACAATATTGTAAGCTGGTAATATGGGAATTTACTGGTAGTGGGGACATCACCGCAGCAACAGAAGACATGGTTGAGGGGCAAATCATACAAATATATGAATCAGGAGCTGGAATAGGCCACTCAGCCTCTCAAGCCTGCTCCATCATTCAATATCTGATTATTCCACATTCCTGCCTAACCCAATAACCTTTCACCCTGATTGCTATCAAGAATCTATAAAATTCTGCCATTATAAGTATTCAAAGACTCAGCTACTACAGCGTTTTAAGGCAGAGTAAACCAAAAACTCAAGATCCCCTGAGAAAAGAAGTGTTTCTTAGTTCTAGATTCTCTTATAAGAGGAAACATTCTTTCCACCTCCACTCTGTCAAGACACCTCAGGATCTTGTATGTTTCAGTCAAGTCCCCTCTTAACTCTACCAAACTCCAGTGAATACATCTAGCTTGTCCAACCTTTCCTGATAAGACAACCCACCCATTCCAGCTATTAGTCTAGTAAACTGCCTCTGAGCCACTTGCAATGTAGTTACACTCTTCCTTAAATAAGGAGACCAGTGTTGTACACAGTACACCAGATGTTGTCTCACCTATGCCCTCCTTTTGTATTCAATTCCCCTCACAATAAACAATTATGTCGTCATTGTCTTCAGGAATAGTGCCAGAAGACTGGAGACTA